TTTTTTTTTTTTTTTTTTTTTTTTTTTTTAAATCTGTATACATCCACATTTATATTCCAAAGTATGCTAAGGCAACATGAAAGGTGCAATGAATTCCAGAAAGAATCTTCTTTTAGTATTTCTGGCATCAAAGCATATCTCTTAACTAGATTTTTTTTAAAAAATGTTGCCTATTTATGAATTTATATATATTGGGAAGCTGGCTATTTGACCTAGAGTAGAAATAATTTCATGTGTGTTAAATGTGGAGTTGGACTTGAAAATAACTTCATTTTCACAATTAATATGAAGAGATCCTGATTATTATTTAGAAGACCCCTTGGGATGCATGGATGCATATCATTTGCTTTGGTTTATCTTTTTTTTTCTCCTGGTTTTCTATCATGTTTTCCTATTGTCAACTGTTTTCCCCTTATATTCCCCTTAAATTGTTTTCCCAATTTTTGTTGTTGTACTACATTGAAATGTAAACATCTGCAGGTCTGGCATAAATTCACTGCCACATCAGTCATGATAAACTGCCAATCTGAGAACATCAGTTATGAAGCCTGTGGAGTTTTTCTTCTGCTGAGGATTAAATATGTGGTTTCTTGTAACTGCATTGCACCAAAATTAAACATCTCAGACACCAAATATTGCACAGATGCCTTCAGTTGAAAGAGCAAGAGCAATAAGCATTTGTTTTTATCAAAACAAGTTGTTTTGAGTGGGAAGAGCAAAAGAACCGTTGAATTACAGATACAGTCACTTTATCACTGAAATTGCTGCTGATTGGCCTTTGATGGTTTTTCTCTTTGAAGCTATTCATTCTCTTCCTCTGTTCTATGTGTCCTTCTTAATAAATATAGAGTACCTTATGGTAATTTGGGGTTGAACTGTTTATTGGAATTTTCTGAATAACTGAATTAAACTGGCACATGGTCTGTCTATAATGTGGGCGTGAGGTACAAGATGGATACATCTAGTCGTAAAGAGCCTGGGAACAGTGGCTGCTGATCTGATCAAGAGCKGATGACCGTCTAAACAGAGGTAAAAACTGCTCTTGTGAAGGCATTTTCTTGCAATATCTAATTTTAGCAAGAGTAAGGACTTGCTTAGATGAGATACAGTAGACAGGGGCTTAAATTGCAGAGCAGACGGCTGCTTTCAGGTTTGGGTATTGGTGGTTGCAAACTGGACCGAAAGCAGGAAGGCACCAGCACGAACTGTCATTGCTGGTCATGGCTCGGGCTTGCTGGTGGAGATGCCCTGGGGTTTCTGCTGCCTCACTCACCAGACCACTTCTGTAAAGAGATTCACGGCGTTGTAGAAATATCATTGTCTTATCTGAGCTCTTGCTATGCTCCAAATCTTCCTCATGGGCAAAGTGGAAGCACATCTTACGTATAACGTAAAGCTAAGAATTTGCTGTTAGTATAAYTGAATTTGAGTAAGACTGTCAAGATTTCTTTATTAGGGTAGATCTGTTATACACACACTTAGTTTCTACCCCTTTTTCTGAAGTTTTGCTCACCCTTCCTCTGTTTCCCTGAGTTTTACACTTGGTSGTTTCATTTTGGTGTTGGCAGCAGTTGGTGTTACAACATGTTGAAAACATCCAGATTCTTCCCTGGGAGGAGTATGATGGTCATGACGATGACTTCTTCCTTGCTTAGGATGCACTTGGCATCATTTGTATATTTTTTCAAACAGTCTTTCACACATTTTTTCACTGGCCCATAAGCCGGCATTGGATTCCACTTTACTATACGTTGTGCCTTCTCTGTGTGTTTGGTAGTGTTTCTCTGCTCTCTCTGTCCAACTCCAGGTCTGCTTTTCCTGAGCTGGCCATATGTGAGTTGTTGATAGCCATGGACCATGGCTCCATTTTAACTCTGGAGCCTGAGTGCCAAGCTCCATCTTTCACCATCTCAGGTATGTGCTCCTCTACTTTGCCCTTCCTGTCTCTGCTTTTTGTAGCCTTGATGACCTGAGTTCTTGATGTCTCTATACTTCATCATAATGTTAGTTATAAACACCTCATTCGGCATAAAATGTCTGCCTGTTACTGCACTCTGTAGATGATGTAAACTATGGTTGTGCTACACAACAAACAAAAAGTAGCTATTGACAACAGGTCAATTAAACTGTTGTCACAGCGAAGCCAAGTAGAAAAGGCTGCAGACAGGTCAAGAGATGTTCACACAGAGGAAGCCACACAAGTCCTGAGGCCTTGCAAACTGAGTGCAAAGTTCACGGCCTGTTACCAGCAGCGGCAACACAGTATTAATGGCTAGAATGGTTGCAGTCCTCCCTGAGAGGTGTTCCTCACCACAGATGCRTTTAATGAATCACTTCATACCTTTTCTACTCCTTGATTTTACTCATTTTTGGGTGATACTAGGCTTTGGATACAGCTCCATCAGGTGGGCTTTTAGTCTGTGACTGCAATTTGCAGTAGGACACAGAAACAATGTAGAAAGGTAGGTTCCAATCCGTACTGGATGGGCAGGCAGGGATTATATTTCCTCTCTATATAAAGTTGTTAGCATTACGTCAATGTCTAGTTGTACTTATGAAGCTATTGCTGGATAACAGAGCACCTGGCAGCAGAAAGCTTCATTTTACAGCAAAAGCAAAATGGCATTAAAGTGCATATCTGGCAAGCGAAAGGTAAGTCAGCAGTGCAGCTGCCTGGCTGCGGGGGTGATCCCTGTTATTCCTGTTGTGCTGTTTGTTCCCTGTCACAGCTCCAGAGACTCCCTGCTGTCTAAAATTAAACCTACAACTACCATAGATAAGAAGCTGCTTTGGAAAGTGTTGGCTGTTCTCAGCAGTGCCAGGATTCTCTGCGTCCAGCATGACAGCTGGGATTAAAAAAAGGGAAAATAAAAAATAAAAAAAAAAGGCAAGAAAAATCTTCTGCCTTTTCACCTTAAGCCAAAAACCGCTAAAAAGCTATTTAATTGTGATTTCACCTTTTCACCTTTTTTTCTAAGGAGTATATCAGCACTTTTTTTTTTCTCTGTTTTCAGCTATCTTAGTTTTGTGCACTAAAAATAAAATATCTGTATATGTTGGAAACTGGTGTACTTTAATGCTCTCTGTCTGCAAATTTAAGTTAATTATCATTTGCGTTTATATGTATGGGACCGTGTGTAAAAGAGAAGGAGAAAAAACAAGCTGTGTGGCAGTGGTTACAAATGGCTGTACTGCATAGGGAGATTAATAACTGTAAGGATTGATGTGTATGAGCCTGCTGGGGCTCAGATGTCCATATGCTGGAGCTTCAGGAAACCAGCTGAGTCAATAAACAACCATTTGAAAGACAAAAATCAGGCTAGCATCCAGCATAAAAACAAAACGAAACCCACAGAGGATAAGCCCTTAAAAAGGAAACAACTCTACAAAAAAAAAAAAAAAAGATTCAGAAGATCTGAATCTTCAAATCTTCTGAATCTTCTAAGGTTCAGAAGCAGAGAAGATTAAAGGGAGCTTGTTTATTTACGTCTGCTGCCTATTAGTTATGTAGCATCTGTTTTCTGATGTTTGCACTTCTTTTTCTGAGACTCTAAAATATTTCGCATTTTTTTTTCTAATTCTTCCACAGCATTAACTAATCACCTAAACGGGGCCATTCAAGGATTCCTTTAGAGACATCATTCAGAGTCATGAAATACAGAATGTATGTTTCCTGCCTTCATAAGCGAAGGAAACATTTTTGTACATGATTCATTCCATTCTTCTCTTTCCTTTCCGGAGGAAATAAGATTTCTTCTGTCAGTACAGAATGCAGTGAAGCTGCCTGCAGCAGCGAGTTCTAAGCAGAGATGTCTGGAGCTCTGTCTTAGGGACACTCGCCCAGAGCAGCACAGGATCTTCACTTTCGTTTAGAATGAAATTGGGCCTTTTCCTTAAAAACTCTTTGTTTTCTCTGTGAGTCAGAGAAATTAGGTAGAAAACTTGATTCTCCTCCTCTCTGGAGCACCGTGGGGTGGTTGTTTTCCCTGAAACCCAGTGAACAGTGGCCTTTCCAAACGTTCCAGGAGGGATGCGATTTCTTAGCTGTTGGGGCTTGGGTTGCCATTGACCTTATGTTACAGCACCAACATGGGAAGTTATGAGTTATCTCGGTAATAAAGCAGGAGTGACCAGCTGCACAGGAGAGTGCTGCTTTTCTGTGTCTCCAAACCTTTGCCAAGCCTGACCTCCCTGACCAAAGTTTTTAATGCTGCCCTTTCCTAGAAAGAAAAGTGGCATAAATGGAAAGCACTGACATCATGTCACATTGCTGATTTAGAATTAATGCAGTGAGAAATTAAAAATACATTTCAGTCATGATCATGTGAGTGATCACATGGATCGCAGGGGAGTAATGCAGTTAAGACAGTATGTCCTGTCTTTACATCCATGTGTTTGTTTTCCAGCAGGGAATAGCATATGCTCTGCTGGCAAGTGAGAACCCATGGTGACACATTTAATTTACCCCTCTATAGAGAAAACTCTATATGCTGATAAAAGATCTGTGTTTTTAACTGCATTAGTTTTATAGTTCAGAGTTTACAGTTAGTTTATAGTTACAGAATGGTGTGAAGAAAGAAAGAGGTGATATGTCCACATGTTCCTCAACTGCTTATTTTTTAACTTCTGTTCTTTGCAAAATTGTTACAGGAGCCCAGAAGCTTCGTGCTTGAAGCCTGGGGATGTCCCTTTGCTGCTTCTTTGAAGGCTGGTCCATATTTGTTTTCCAGTCAGGCATCAGAATATTAAAATTTTGAGAAGTTTTACCCTAGTTTCACTAGAGAATAGATTTTTCTTTTTTTTTTTTTCTTTTTTTTTTTTTTTTTTTTTTGATTTATCCGTTTACCTTCCAGGAGAAACTGTTTTAGCTCTAAGAACTGTGGCTAAATTCTTACCCACAGGAAAGAAAATGAGCAGAGCCAGCGCTAGCTGCTGACATGAGTGTTCTCCTAACATAAAGAGTGGAGGTGTAAAAAGGCTGCAGATTTGGGTTAAACTGCAGGCCATTTGGGGCTAGCTTTCCTTCCAGTGACAGGAACAAAATAAAGCTTTGAAATAGGAATGAAGTCTGACTTCTTAGTGAAAACAAGAGCAACGAGAACACTGTGGCTGTGTGTGATATTCCCCATCCATGGACGTTCCCATGTTAGTAGTGGATGCCTATGGCTTTGCCTGAAGTGCTTTAGGAGTTGCTGGCTGTTAGAGCTATTCAGTTGTCGTAGGTTGCCCTTGCAGCCCTGACCGTTCCTTTGCAGCCTGTTGAACCTGCAGGGTGGATGCACAGAGTGTCTAGTGCACAGAGTCTGGTGTCTAGGATGCACAGAGTGTCTAGTGACCAGGGTTGGCAGTGCCCTGTCGGGGTGGCACTGGAGTCACTGAGTTCTGCCTAAGCTCTTCACAGGGGCCCTTCACCAACTGGTTTGTTTAAGACTTATCTTCTCTTTCATAGCTCAAGGCTTTTCCTATTTTCTTTCCTTTTCTTTCTCCATGAGTCTTGTCATATTTAAAGTCACTGAATTTTAACGATTGGAAAAAAGCTTCAAGATCATCAAGTCCAACCCTAATTAGCTATTTGCTTTCTTTTCAGTACTCTTGCTGAAATATTATTCTTTGATGCAGAAATCCTTGAGGCTTTTCTCAGGCTTACTCACTTTTTTTTTCCCATCAGTTTTACAGCATCTGACATTGCATGTATAATTTTATTTGGGGTTTACTATAAATTGCAATATGCTTGTCCCCAAAAAATCCCTGAGTGTGATAAATCAGGAAAAAAAGGACACAATCAAGATGTGGTGCCCCCAAAATCAAAAGATACCTGGTTAGTTAGTAAAAATATATATGAGAGCAAGGATACTGAAATAAACACAGCTTCAGTTATTGTGAAGACCTGAGCTTTAAGCTTTCTGGCCGTGTCAGAGCAGGTGGCTGGCTGAAACTATCCAGCTTCATTTTGTGAACAGCCTTGCTGTCCCTTAAACCCAATGATCTTTATGAACTGTAAATAWTGTCAGGGACATGGTGGGAGAGAGCCATTCCTGGCAATGGTGTGACAAAGAACATCAACATCGTGGTCCTAGACAACATTCAGGGTCTCCATCCTGATCGAGCGTCTCTTTGCCATTAGGGCTTTTGGTTTTTTCACTTGCATACCAATGAGTAAATATTGGCAAGATCAGTCCCTCACATCATCGGGTGTTTAGGACCCATGTCTTGAGACACTGACTGCCCTCTGTGTACTTACAGCTCTGCCTGCTGTGGAGGAATTGTTTGGAAAACTAGGGCCTAACAGAAGTTCTGGCATTGCAGCACCTTGCTTGGGGTGAGACCCAGTTGCCACTTCCAGGATGGCTGGTACGCACRGACTCTGCTCCTCCACGGTTGCCTGGGCAACACAATCTGTGCTCCTCGCAGCTGCAAAGGGGAGTAGCGGAGGATGGAGCGGAGTGAAGACCCYGCGGCCAAACACTGTTGCACTCCCTGTGCTGGGCCGCTGATAAGCCACACAGCAGCTGTCCAATGGGAGATATACGATAAAAAGTCCAATGCTGAGCCAGAAAAGTGGCAAATCACTCCTTTCGGATGAACTTTGCTTGAACTTTGCTCATTATACGCTCATTATAATGCCAACACACACCTCCATCCCAAAAGTTACCCGCCTCCGAGGTATGACCACCCCTCACTGAGCATGCGCTCTGGATTTTCGATTGACTGTACCTTTAAATGAAAGTGAGAAACTTTTTCACCAATCAATAACAATATTAAGTATGACTCTAGTCACTCAAGCTCCACCTGAACRTAAAGAAAAGTATAAAAGGTAAACTAAGGATGAACTTGTGAGGGGAAGATTCCATCGTAACTCTGGATCTGATACCCCTTCCCTCCCCTCAGGCTGAGACGCTGCCTGAGAAGACTAAGAACTGAGGGGGAAAGAAACCACCATCACTCTTGGGTCAGTCAGTGCGCTGATTCCCACTTTTCCCTGCTTGGACTGGAACATTGCCTGAGAAGACTAACWACTGAGAGGGAAGATTCCATCGTAAATCTTGGGTCAGTCGACAGGCTGATCCCCCTTCCCTTCCCCTGGRCTGAGACGCCACCTGAGGAGACTCGAGGCTGAGAGCCCTCTCCCATCTTCTGGGGTGAGTGATGATTGCACATTTGTACATCAGAGCTAGCTAAAAATACCCATGCTGTAGTAGAGAATTTCCTGTACTGACATCCAAATCCTGCTTTGTAAATGTTGCATTTGAATAAATCACACTGTTTGTGAACTCRACTACTYRTTTGGAGGGGAGGCGATCGGACCTACAATTGACAGACTGTTCGTGAATCCAATACTGCCAGAATTGAGCTTATACTGGAYGACKCTATTTGGGAACTCAATTCACTCCCAGGAAGGCGATCGGACCTACTGTCCATAGACTGTTTRTGAATCCGATACTAATTTGATGTCTCCTTCCCCCGCTCCCCACCACTACGGCTTCCAAACTGCAAYATTTTCACAACACATGCAAGCAGAAACGACTCAGCTAGCACGCACTGAGGGTTAGCGTATAGGATGAATTTCAGCTTTGCATTACATTCTAGTTTCACCAGTTATCAGTTTAAACTTCTGTTTGTTTGGATTTAATTTTTAGATTTATTTTTGCATTTATTTGTTTTCATTTGTGCAGAGTTACTTATGTATCAGCTCTCTTGGCTGACAAAGAAGAAATAGAGAAAAAATTCTCAGAAAATTTCCTTTTCTGCTGTCAAAACATGACAAAGTATTAAAGAAAGTCAAAACTAACACATAACTTCTGTGTTTTTCATGTAGGTTTACTGGCAGTAAAACAGCTTACAAGAGCTTGTTTTCTYCTCACTGTTGATCTGAATAGTTTTATCTACCTAGAGAGATTTGCACCTGTGCAGGGAACAAGAAGGGCCGAGGGGAGAAGGAAACAAAGATCAATCTGAAAAGAAGTACAAAATAAAGAGCTTAGCAAGAGGAGATCTTTTATGACCAAAAAATATCACATCTGTAGGAATAAAGTCCAATAGCCTTATTCCTCTGACTCTTGAAAGGGCCCACGTTTACTGCTTTTCTCCTGTTACAACAGAAAAGAGGGTTCTCAGCAGCCTGTTTATTACCTCTCCTCTTTTTTCTTTTCTTTCTTCAAAATAAAAAAAAAAAAAGACTTTTTCTTTATGGTGTACTTCATAACGCAAAGACTATATCTAGAGTAATGCACAGTAACCATTCGTTTGGCCTGGCAAAAATATTTGATCTCCTGATCTAACATGGCTTTTGAGCACGGAACAYGGAACAATTCATGGCAGGTGTGCATGAATCCTTAACTTGACTGAATCCTTAAGAGTGCAATGTATGCTTCCAGCCTTCTGTGTGACTGATTGGTGATTGCAGAGACAGCGTGAAAACACGTGCAGATAAAACGGACAATAGACCATTGAACAATATTGATTTATATGGAGGAGAATTTTAAAGAAGGTTGATGATATAGATGAGCTATAACTGGCTCTGAATATTGTCATGTAACGTGAAAATCCTGGAAAGAGAAAATTTCACAAGACAGCCTGAGGCCCACTTTAAGCTAGGAAGTGGTATGGAACTAACTGTGTCAAATGTACACCACTTACACCCTTATTTTGGCATCATTGCTGGAGTGAATGCAGGCATGGGAGGATATATAAATATTCCATAGCTCTGTAAGCGCAAAATGAGGAATAGTTCACCAGCAGAAGCATTGCTAATGCAGCTCTACTGGATTAAGGGATATTCTAACACTTTATTATATGTTAYGACATTTGAATGCCACAGTATTTTATGCCAGATAAGAGCTAAAGAATTAGAGTGCTATTGCTTGGATTAATAACTTGGAAGTGAAAAGCACACTTGGAAGTGAAAAGCCCAGACACRGTCTGTTCATTGAGAGAGCTTGCCTTTATTCCTTAAGTGAGGCAGTGGTTTTGTTCAGGCTCACTTCCAACAGTGATGACAAGTAGATATCACCAACAACACTCTAAATAATCATGTCTAAAAATCTAGCAACTTATCTAGATCTGAAATTAATTAGACCTCCTGCTTTTTGGGTCCTGACCCGATTGCCTGCTTCTCTTTTTTTTTCTTTCCTACTGCTCATGTCTGTTTTCTGTCACTTGAGTTCTGGATTTTGTCTGCTTTCCTCTGCAGGACTTTGATAACAGAGTTGTGTCTAACTGCTTTAAATCTTGTCTTTCGTGGTGATTCCCTTTTCCATGCTTCTACGCCCTAGCTGGTGAATTTATTTCTTTAGTCTGAAGTAAATAAGAATTAAAGGCCAGTTGTAAATCACAAAGCTGACTTAACACGCCTGGAAAGGACAGGAGATTTTCCAGAAATATTTCCCCAGCACCCAGGAGAAATTAGTCACCATGACCCAGACAGTGTGACAGACAAGCCCTGTACAAAGGCTTGAAACACTAACCTCATTTCACTGTTACGCTTTTACTCTGAGCTGTGAGCAAATATAGTAACGAAGTCATCACAGTCCTATTCAATTTGATGTTAGTGCTGTTAGTGATATGATTTTTTTTAATAAGAATACACTTAGCTAAAGTACTTTCTTATGCATCAGTGGTAGAATAGCTTTTAATAGGAAAATACTGTTTTGCTCTCCATGAGGGATTTGTTTGTTATCAGTAGGAACAAGCTGGCTTTAAAGCAAAGGTTGCCCAAGCAGCGAAGCATCAGCAGGAATAATACCTATAATAGTAGTGATCCCCATTCTCACCATGGGCATGACTACATTTGATGGCCACAGCATCCCCTGCTTCAGGCAGAGACCATGGGCCACTGATGCAGGTTTTGGCTACTTGTGTGGGAAATCTGCTGGGTGTGAGTCAGAGTCCTTGTSCCATGTAACGGGACCTTCGAAGCAGCTGCCATGCAGACAGGATGTGCCTAAGACAGGTGAAGGTCAAATCTCAAAGACAAATCTTGCTATCAAAGCCCTTGACATTTGTGACTGCTCCTCAGCATAAGCAGAGAGCCCTATGCTGAGCTCAGCCCAATCCTCAGCTCATGGGGCTCAGCCTCCTCAGCTGACATGAAGAACTTACCCAAAACTCAAGCCACAGCTTTTGGGTACTTGTTATGGACATCAGTTTAACTTTGAGAAAGGGTGTTGGTAGACCTCAGGATCAAGCTCCATTGATCAGAATTTGCTGCTGTGAGACAGTAAAGCTGGATGATCCCAAAATCCTGCTGCAGCCAGCAACATGGTACCAATATTTCCACAGGCAGAAAAGCCATTGATGTACACCGTCACATAATTGTTATCTTTCTAGGTACCTTAGGGGCAAAAGTTAATCTCCGCTGAGGGAGATTTAACATTCTCTTTGCTGGTTGGTTCTGGTGTTTTGTCAGTTTAAAATTACAGTATCTCACTAAGAGCATGTCTGATGCAAATGGAGCTGATTCCTTCATGTTCTGAACGCTTTGAGCCAATCATCTCTCTATAGACTGGAAGGCAATTATCTTGTCATCTCTCAATCTTCTTTTTTTTTTTCTCTCTTTTGTTCTAAACCAAATCCAAATCCTTCCACATGTCATTGTAGGTTCCCGCTTTATAAGACTTTATTAGTGCTGATTATAGACGTCAGGTTCTTGGTTTGCCTGTATCTTTCTTGAAGCCAGTGTCGATAATCAGACACACTGCTTTAGCTGAGGCATTCCTAATGTCACCATGACACAGAAAATTACTCACTAAGGAGGATGTTTTCCAATGAATTGTGTATTATATSATAGTGATTACTTCTAGAACACCATTCTTTGGCTGACTGATGAGAATATCATTCCAAGCAATGTCAAAAGCCCTTAATTTTGTCTTATTTTTAGGTATAGATGTAATCCTTTCTGTTTTTCATGATTGACTTTCAACAAAATACATTTTGGTCTTGTTTAGCCTGCTGATCTTAGCTTAGCCTACTTGATCTATCTTTTCTAGGGCCTTCTTTTACCCTTTAGTAAAGACAGACATTGTGCCTGTTTTTCCTTCTTCTTAAAGGACCATAAAGAGCCCTGTAGAGGCTCTTAATAAGAAATAGTAAAAAATGGAAAGAAAACAGTAAAAACATGTCTTCTAAAGATGCTGAATTCTTGAGAGATAAGTAACCAAAGCTTTCTATGAGAGGATCCTTGCACCCACAGTTTTGATTAAAATTTCATTCATGATTATAAATTCTAATACTTTTGTATCTATTCATAAACTACTCAAGTCTGTTGCTTTGACTCCAGTGAAATTCAAGCAACCTTACCAAGGGAAAAAATCCTATTCCCAATTACGTCTCYAGGAATTCTGTGACTTGCATAAGTATTCTACTCTTTCTGTTTAACAAGGATGTCTCTGATATCTGTATCTCCCTTCGTAGCCTTGACAAGGCTTTGTCTGAAACCAGCTTTTTCTGCCTTACAGAAATATTCATTGGTGGGGCAGGCTTCCCTCTGGARGTGAATTCTGAGGGGAAATGCTCTAGTTTAGGTTGTTCCAGCAAATGGACTTCGAAATTTTTAAATCACAATATGCTTTACACGATGAAATATGAGGGATTAGTACTGTGCTAGGATAACAATATTCAGCTCATCTCCTGCATTTCTAATGAAAAGTTTGTTGTCTTGATCACTCTGTTTATGTGAACACAGAGACAAGTGYCATGCAGAGACAGACAAAGTAACTTTGAACAATCAATTCTTGAAGAGAAGGTACTTCAGCCATAGTGTTCCGTGTTACTTTTCATGCATTTCTCCAGTAAGAACCTATCTGAGACCCAAACTATCAGTATGGAATGACATTTGCCTTTGGTTTGGATGTTTTAGCACCATATCATCAAATGATTTGACTCTAYGCATCCTATGAAATTCCTTAAATGACACTGAAATGTTAAAAGGTAGCTGTACAAATTTGTTTGTGTGATCTTGGGAGAAAATATTTTGGGTATCTACTTCTGGTATCTAATCTTATCCACTTTTTGGATCATTTTACTCAAAATGATTGTGATTCCAGGYGAAGGATTGGTGGGACATTGGTTTAGAATCAAATACAGTCAGAACTTGAAAGGAAGCTACTTTTTGAGGTCTCTCTATGATGGAATCTTAACCGCTATCTCAGAAGAGTATTTCTAGGGTAAATTAGTACTTGTAAAAGACTTTGAAATAGGAAGCATTATACACTGAGGATAAAAATCCTCCATTACTCTGCTATTTAGCATGACAGTAGCAGCTGCATCTGATCTTAACCATTTATTTTTAAACTTTCCTGGCTGAAGGAGATGAAATCCCTCAGGAGCACAGTCAGTGTTTAACAGACAACTGCCTCACAGCTTCAATTAATATAAAAAGATAAACTTCTAATGAGTAAAATCAAAACTAATCTGAAGCTTAGTTACTTTGGGGGCTCTTTAGTTTTTCCTCCCTGGTTTGGCAGAGCATTCAAGCTGTTAATACTTCAATATTTTGTAAATTAGGCCCCAAGCATCTTGTTTTTCACAGGAAAATGTTGAATTCTAATTATTCAGCTGAACATGAAAGCATGTTTAGCTCTAAGCAACCAGACAGTCTGCAGCTCTGATTAGCCACCTAAGCTTAAGTATCTCACAGCTTTGATTAGTCGTCCAGTTAGGAGAAAATTTCTAGCTCTAATAATAAAGATATTTTGCAGTAAAATTAAGATACAACTTCAACTGGAAAATGACAGAGATAAAGACTTGTATCTTCCTTCCAAGAGAGCTGATAAGCTATGATACATTTGCTAATGTGTGATGGAGAATGAAATATATTGAATCTATCATAGAGAAAGGTATAGTAATTTTCCTATAGGAAGATTCATCTATTTAATGTTGAATTTGTTACAGATAAACACACTRTAAATCTGAAAGTTTTAGAAATATCACAGAATCAGATTCACAGAATGGTTGAGGTTGTAAAGGATCATCTGGCCCATATCCATCAAAAACTGTCTTTGGAACCCAGTCCTGCTCAGACCTGTCTCTATTAAAGAGCCTTTAGAATTTCAGATTTAGCTAAAGGAAAATGTGAAWATTTTATTTCAAATAATGAACATCGTTTTGTGCTCTCTAATACCTTCTCTGCTTCGTACTAGTCACCTCAKCTCTGTTATGGTACCCAGATTATATAACTACATACCTTTTTTTTTTTTTTAATCTCTACTTTTATTCATGGTAATGTTATCAAGTGGATGACAAACTGAGCATATTACAAGCATAACTCAATTATATTGAGTTAGAAAGTGATTAATCTAAATGAGCATCTTATTGGAGGACAAAAAGAGAATAAAATACAAGAAAAAATTAGGAATAGAAGGAAAAGACAGGAAAGTGAGCAAACAACTAACCAACAGTTAAACACCAAGGAAGAAATCTTGAGATTATTGTAGATAATTGCTAAAATAAGTTTTAAACTCTGCTTTCATTAAGAAAATAGTCATTATCAGATACTAGTTATTATAACTCCTAGACAGCATTTCTATAAGTAATCTGGAGTTCTGTCTCTCATGTCCTAATATTTCTCTTGGATCTGAACTAGYCTTCCAAATTATTTGCTGTTTTCCAAGGTCAAATCATTCCTTATTTTCTATTTTGCTTCTAGGAGAAAGAGTAGCAATGTTATTGAATATTATCTTCAGCCAACTTGTATTAAAGGTGAACAATTTTCTATTCCTTCACTTGATAAATTGATAAATCACAGAAGAATTTTCTGAACATACAAGAGAAAAAAGGTAATGAGAAAGATAGAGATAAGTATGAACACAAGAGCAGCACCTTCTTCAAAGAGAACTTGCATTACCAGTGCAGAAATGCAAGGAAGTCTACCTTCATACTGGCACCAAACTCAGATGGATATGCTCCATTCCCAGCTTAACCTGACCTGTGCCTTACATGCAGCCCTGTTCAGTYTGCTAACCAGTAATTTATCTAATCCTGGTATGCGCCACCATCCTGATTTCTTCTCTCACATAACAGTCCTGAAGGCTGCACCCCAGATGGGGAGATAAGGCTAGCACACTAGCCAAGGTCTTTAAAATGAAAAATATGACTACAAGTCAATCATCTTATTCCATAAATACACGGACAGCCCGAGAGCCCCTTTGAGCTCTCCTGGTGTAAGAAATGTTTGTTCCCTAAAGTCAATCAAAACTAGGAAATAACGATTATAAGCAGGAACAGCTTACTTAGATTTACAAGCATGACTGACTTCTGGGGAATACCACGGAACTCGAAGATGCTGAGTCTACCGTTCAAATCAAGGATTACCCAGATTGTTGATAACATTGGAAACAATCGAGGAACACTGGAAACAATCTAGGATCATCCAGCCTGCTGATAACATTGGGATGCCGATAACATTGGGATGCCGAGACTACTGATAACATCGAAATACCACAAAGATCACGGAAAGGAAGAAGGAAAGGACTAGAAGAACTATATACTATAAATACTGAGCYCCAAGAGACAAAAGATGGGAGCCTGAGARGGATTGTCTCCAGGCTGCCCCAGCGCTGTTATTCTCTGTACCCAGCTTACTCARTAAACGRTAGATGAGAAAATTGGCTTGTCTCGTCTATAACAGTGGGGACGAAGCAAACGGCTATTGGGGCCCTGGTGTTTTCCTAAACCTAGGACCGGAMCCCACAGATGYTCCTCACTCAATCACCAGCCGAGTGGCCTACTGGGCTGGAGGAATAAATGAAAAGGACCAAGATGAACCCTCCATAATCCCTATCACATCACTGAGTAAGATATCTACTGCTGTTACAAAAACCGCCTGTATCCAGGCCATATATGAACGAGGGGCTAACAACGCTCCCATATCTGCTACAGTGAATCCTGAAATGCTAAGACCTCTGATAAAAGGTGCTCCAGTTGTCCTTAAGTACTGCCTAGTTGGCAAACGAGAAAACATAAGACGGGCCATTAAATATAATGAGCAATTAGGTATCAACTACCCTCATCGATAGCTCCCCACCTGGGCTAGGCTAATGTATAATTTAGCTAATCTTGGCCATGAAATGGGTTGGTGTGATTCTAACAGCAATGCAAACTCTAAGCTTAGAAGGAGAAATCACAGAGAGAGACCAGTAAAACCGGAAACTGAAATTAATCTCAAAGGGAAAGAACAGCAAAACTTTCAGACTGGATTTAGGAAAAGTAGGAGTGAATTATGGAAAAAGGCCCCAGATCTCTTCTACGAGACCAACCCACAGGCATAATTCTCTGTTTAACTGAAGCTTTCCAGAAACAAGGAAGGGATAAGAGGAGGGAGCGTACATCAACAGGTCCAGCACCAGATCCTGGGAAGGGAAACAATCCCTTCTCTAAACCTAGAAAGGAATTAAAAGAAACAAGTTCAAAAAACAAGTAACGCCGGGGAGTCAATTGGGCCTGCCTGTCCGGCAAGTAGAGTCTTATCAGTGGATAAGTGATAAGGGCCCATATATTTTAATTCCTGTCGGTCCTCAGCGACAACTAGTAAAGTTTTTAATAAACACAGGAGCACAGATCTCAATATTAACACAACAGAGTGCTGAAAAGCTGCGAGTGCAACCTGGACGGCAAAAGATTACAATTACTGGTATAAATGGAGCAAGCGCTGTGTGCCAGACTGCCAAGGTCGCTCTATGGCTCCCGGGTGAGAAGTGCTTGTCGACTGCTGTCTTTGCAGTTAAAGATCATAACAAAAATATTTTAGGCTTTGATGTTTTAAATGGACGAACCTGGYATTTGACAGATGGCAGTGAGTGGTCATTTGGATCAAACACCTGCCCCAGTCTGGGTAGGAATCGGGAGGCTACAATGCGCGTACTTCACACAGCCCCTGCACTCCCTGATTCAAAAATCACTAACGTATCACAATACCCAATTTCTGCTGCCCCACTAACGTATCACAATACCCAATTTCTGCTGCCCCACGGGGTGGCATTTCTGAAGTCATGGCTGACTTGGAGATTATCTCCAAAATCCACTCCCCATATAACTCACCTATCTGGCCTGTTCGTAAGCCAGAGGGAAGGTGGCGACTGACAATTGACTATCGGTGCCTGAATGCTAATTCTGCCTCATTAACAGCTGCTGTACCAAACATTGCAAACTTAATAGCTACCTTACAAGGAGCTGCACACCCATGGATGGCAACACTAGACATAAAGGACATGTTTTYCATGGTCCCGTTACAGGAGAAGGRTAGGGAGAAATTTGCTTTCACGTGGAATGGCATACAATACACATTCAATTGACTCTCACAAGGGTATAAACATTCACCTGCTATTGCACATGCTGCACTGGCTGAACTTTTGCAGGCAGTCTCACTACCACAGGGTGTGAAATTGTACCAACACATAGATGACATCCTAATTGGGGGTGACTCACCCAAAAAGGTTGAGAAGGCAGCCACAGCAGTATGGCAAACACTACGTGACGCTGACATTGAGGTACCACCTGAAAAATGCAAGCAGAGAAGTAAAGTTCTTAGGTACTTGGGGGGTAGCTGGCAGTGCAGTAATTCCTCTAGATACCCTAAGAAAAACTGAAGAGCTGCAAATTCCCCAGTCAAGGAAAGAATTACAACAATTGATGGGAACTTTAGGATATTGGAGAAAGCATGTACCTGGATTTTCTATTATTGCTCGTCCATTATATTCACTCTTAAGGAAAGGCAAACCTTGRRAGTGGAAGCTGGAGCATAAAGAGGCAGTCAAAACCCTGACTGAAGAATTAAAAACGTATCAGTCACTGGGACCAGTACACCCCCATGACCCTATTATAGCTGAATGGGGTTTTGCTGAACATGCTACTTACTGCAACCTATTCCAAACTGGCCCTGARGGACCAAAACGACCTTTATTGTCTAGCTCGACTGCACTTAAAGAAACAGAACATCGATATTCCGAATGGGAGAAAGGASTTTTATCTTTAGTTTGGGCAGTTAAGCAGGTTGAGAAAATACACCAAGGACAACCTGTGCAAACTAGAGGACCCTTTAATCTACTAGAAGCAATCCTAAAGGGAACTGCTTCACCAGAAGAAATTGCACAAAAACCCACTATCAGAAAGTGGTATGCCTATCTAACAGGAACTGCAGAAAATATGCAGTTAACTGAAGGACATACTAAGATTTCCAAATTGCAGATGCCTGTAAGTACAGATCCATTAGCATTACAACAACCATTTAAAGCTTCGCCAGTTCTGGATGCACCACCCCTTATCGATGGTGCACCAACAGAAGATTTACAGACGCTTCAGCAAAAAGAGTAAATGGTAAATGGCTATACAAGGCTGTTGCATTAAATATTACCACTGGCGAAGACGTAACAGAAGAAGATGAAGGCAGTGCACAAGTGGGAGAGTTAAGAGCAGTAGTTTTAGCTGCACAAAATGGAGCAAATGTTATATATGTAGGCTCTTATGCTGTCTGGGCTGGTGCCACACAATGGCTTTGTCAATGGGAAACTCTTAACTGGGAAGTAAACAGAACTCCAGTCTGGAGAAAACAAGATTGGCAATTACTGCCGGATTCAGCAAGAAAAACACCATTTAAAATAGGATGGGTAAAAGCCCATGCTAAGGACAATCAACCAGGCACAAAGTGGAATCAAAAGGTAGATGAGTTAACCAGAATCAGGAAAATCACCTTAGACCCTGAGTGGTATCGATTAGGAGAATGGTTACATCAAAACCTAGGYCACACTGGTAAGGAAGCACTTTGCTGCACAAAGCAGGGGCTGGCCCATAAACCGGGAAACCTGTGAAACTATTCTCACAGAATGTCCCCAATGCAGATTAAGGTTACAAACAGATCATCCTGCTAAAGCTCCATCTCTGCACATCAATGAGGGGAAACCTTTATGGTCTATGTGGCAAATTGATTATATCGGACCATTCAAATCCTCTCCAGGATATCAATACATCCTTACAGGAGTGGAAGTGTTCTCCGGCTTGCTTATGGCAACCAAATGCAGGAATGCCAATGGACAGAGTACAGTGCAAGGACTGTTGTCTTGGTTCTCACATCTCCCTRCTCCTGATGTTATCGAAAGTGATAATGGCTCACATTTTTCACGTAAAGAAGTGCAAGCTTGGGCAAAGCAAGAAGGAATTCAGTGGGTATTTCACACCCCGTACTGTCCCCAATCAAATGGGATAGTAGAAAGAGCTAATGGGTTGTTAAAAAGGAGTCTGGACCCATGCAAGGCCCGGTGGGATATCTGACTTCCACAATTCTTCAACAATTAAATAATCCTTACAGGCCCACTGGAAGCCCTATAAACCGAGCATTCTTTGTGAAAAATGAGCCCAGTGCTCCACCTACAGGTGAAAGAGAATGTCCAACAACACTACAGCCAGGACAGCCCATGATGGTCGATCTACCATCTATTGGTTCTGTGCCTATGACTCTAACCAAACCTCGTGGCCCGCTTGMTYGGGAAGCTACTGATAACAGTGGTGTAAAACATAGAATTGGTGCTTGATGGATATCTCCTCCTTTTTAAATGGGGTAACCTGTTCGGCCTCACCCCACCGAGACAAGTTTCTATTTAATCTTGCAGCTGCACACAGGATGGTGGCTGGAAATGCGGTATTCATATTGCTGTTCCAGATGCTGGCGATGCTACCCCTTCGGACCTATGCTCGAAGCACCGCAGAGTGGCCACGGACACAAACCCGTCTTAAGTATACTGGGAGTATGGGCATTCATTCTAACAAAAAACTTAGACCTTTCAACTGTGGTCATGCAT